CACATAGAATTAAGGCAGTTCTGAAGGCGAAAGGGGGTCAAACACCGTATTAGTATGGTGTTCCTAATAATCCTTTAGGTGAGTGTAAGTGGAGACGTCTGCCTGGTGGTCAGCTGGATCCGATGGTGGGGGAAGATGCCGGATAGACCTATACACATAGTGCTGGGAGCATCTGGCGGAGACCCCTGTCCGGGAGATCTTCAACTCACACCTCCAGCAGAACAATTCATGCATCCTCAAGGAGTCAGCGGACATTGAGGCCGAATGGGCCATATTCTGGGATTACATTGCTGAGGCAGCGGTGCTGTAGCCATAAGGTAGTTGGTGTCTTTCGTGGTGGCAATCCCTGAACCTGGTGGTGGACACCAGCATTAAAGAGAGCTGTCAGGCTGGAAAAGGAAGCCTTCTGAGCTTGGTTAGCTTGTGGGATTCCTGAAGCAGCTGATAGGTACTGACAGGTGAAATGGAAAGTTCAATTCAATTTCACTTTTTTGTTTATATGAAGTATAAATCAGTTGCCTACTGAAATTGTCTTGTGGAGAGTTGTTTTGCATTACTTCAAAAGGCCAGTCTATACACCATATAGATTATTTGGGGACCCAGCTGAGATCAACATCAACCAAATAATGGAATACATTGTGCCTGCTAGTCCTTGGTCATTATAATGCAGCTGCAACTATAATACAGAATAATAATTCACCGATACCTCACAGTCTACAACGTGACCATTCTGAACTTTGTGGACTAGTCGGCACCAAACAGTACTGTGGCCATGCAAGTTACATTAGTCTAAATTATGTGATCACATGTCCAAGGTAGGATTTCCATTAATTGGAAGTCTGTCTCCAATGTATACGATATAATGGTACATAAAACACAGTTCAGTACAAACCTCGGCTTTGAGTTCAGGGTTTGGTCCAATTTCAGTACAGCAGAGAAAACAGAACAGTTGCAATCTGAAGGCAATGCCTCTATTGACATGTCTGAATAGCAAAACCTGAGAGATGCTTTTTTGCACAGTGTAAAAGATGTAAAATATAAAAAAAACCTACTAAATAATGTCATACCAATCATTATGAATTAAATCATGTTTTCTTTACAACTGAGTATGATTGCCTATCTGTAGTGATAAACACCTTAATAGCATATAGTCATTTTGCCTTATGGCTCATTTCCACTGCCATACAGGAACCAACCATACCTGAGTGGTACTGCAAAGAGAGACTAGTTACAACACGATTCCAGCTCGCTTCAGTTTTCCGCTACAGAAGGGTCGGCTTGGTAAAGGTGTTGTCAAGTTTGGAGAGTGACTGATGTAAAACTGTATACACTACGAAATCTGCATTTGCTTGTGTAAATTTGCATTACAAACCCATTCAGCTGTTCTATAGTATTTTTTTTAAATAGGTTGGAAATGTTCAAGTTCCAAGTAATCGGAAATGCATCAATACATGCATTGCAATGTGCAATACTACAAATGATGAATAATATACAGAATACGCCCTTTTTTCTTTCAAATAATCCATTCATATCAATGCAAAGCACCGGAATCTTCCTGTATTTCAACCAGACAGATTGTGGTGATGCAACCAGTTCAGTTTGGTCACACTTTCAGCCTTGCTAGTAAGCAGGCCTATGTCAGCACGGGTTCAGCTGCAATAATTTACAATAGAAAATTGTTAGTTCACGATATGGCTTGGGTACAGCTCCGTTTTTAGTGGCAGTGGAAAAGCACCAAAGAATGCCATGGGGAGACTACCCAGCAAATATGAAATGTCTGTCATATATGTTGATTATGTCTATATTGCATCAATCAGTCCAGGACTGTATCTGTATGTCTATATGACGTGCAAATCGGGTTCAGTTTTTGGACATCTGACTTTGACCACTGTCGGACATAGAAATGTAGTTCATTATGCAAATATTTAGCTAGCAGATTCAGGGTCGCCAGTTTTGGTAAGCTGGCCAGAGAGAGATTTTCAATTCAACACAGTACTGAAATACACCTTGTGGTGCAACCTGGACACATCTTCAGTGATGTAACTGGGGTCATGGGGTGTTTCGGGTCTTACATCAGACACCCTCATCCGAGTGACCCAGCCGAGGATGATCAGGCCCCGACTTGTGTCCAGGTAGCGCACAACGCCACACATCCCCCCTCCTCAACCAGAGCCAACGTGAAGCCTTTTCCACAGCTTCTATAATGTTCTTCATGGCTCTTCGCCTGTGCAGTCCGCTGATCCCTAGTAGTCCCAGGACCCGATGCAGAGACTGGCCTGCGAAGCCCCTGCAACCCACTTCAATGCCTGGTTGTACACACATTCAAATGATGTTGTCTCAAATGAGTTACTGTTTTGCTTGTGTTTTCAATAACATATCCAATTTCAGTATAACAGTCCCGATGTAGAGTCTTAATTGGTCTTATCAACTACTCTCTCTCTCTCCAGTGCTGGTGTAATTTGTTGGGAAACCAAAATGTTCACAAACCGTCAGTTATGACTGACTAACCAGAATTAGTCATAACCACTGCCACTATTAGCATAATCTTTTTCATGTTTAACATCTTGTGAATTTAGGTTCGGCCGGTGTCAGTAAATGTATTTATTTGTTTCATTGTGCATACTGAACCTAAAATGATGTACTGAACTTTTCACAAGTAATACATATACCGTTACAGGCCTATTATCTAGCCAAAATAACACTTTCTGATGAAATGTAGCTGCATACAATCAATGTAAGAAAAAAATTAATTAACAGCTTATTATTATTATTAAGCCTGTCATTATCTAGGCAAGTTTCCCCTTTGAGCAGGGCCCCCTATAGGGCGGGGCCCGGTGCAGCCGCAACGGTTGCACCGCCCTAACGACGGCTCTGGATACTAGCACATACCGATAAATAGGCGTCTTCGGTAAACGCCTGTTTAAGACTGCACATTTGATTCGATCCACCTTAAATGACTAAGCGCGAGCTAGCCTGTCAGCTTAACACGTTTGCTCGAGGGCCACCTTAAATGACTGTGCTCAAGCTAACCCCTCCCTTCGCGCGGTAGCCCCCAGCTCGACTCCGCCGACACCTCCCTCCCTGTTTTACAGCCAGAACAATCGCTGGCGTTTAGTTGTGTGCTGTTCTTCGCCTTTAGTTGGAGGTAATTTGTTTATATCTGCGTACTTAACACGGACAGCACAGTTGTGGTGAAGAACTTACCTTACGGAAAGAAAGAGAGAAAGAGAAGAAAAACTGACAACACCGGACTCTTACATAGTACAAGCCTGACCGAGGAATATTCCCATACCGATAATTTCCCCCCTTTTTCCTCAAACGGAAATGCATTTTTACTGCTAATATGGATATGAGTCTTTCTTTGAGTATATTCATATAAAAAGTAAGCTGCAATATAATTTGCACTTTGATATGATGATGCCACTTGTTTGATGAAAGCAACTCACGCAGGACTAAATACCGCTCATACTGAGGGGGGAAATTGCTTCAGAACTGTTTGTCTTTTCTTGATGTACGTTTAATGTCGAGATTTTCCGTTTGTGTGTAAGCTTTCTCCGTTTAGAAAGCAGAAGTAAAGGGAAAATAAATCGCGGATTGCTAAAAAATACCAAAAGAAAACCGATACTCGGTTGTTTCTACAAATGTTGAAAAGAACAAACAGGTCTTTGGCGGATATTTCTCACTCCTTAAGGAAGTTCCTGCCATACTGAGATTTTTTTCCAACGTTGTCTATTTCCACACAGCGTTAACTGGCTGAGAAGACAAGCCTTGCCCTCTCCCCTGACTGACCGAAAGGACAGTGGACGGGATTCGTGTTTCATTAACACGAACTGGCAGAAGCTGGGATTAAAACGACGAGACACTAAAATACACAAATTACAAAGGGAGAAGATTCGCCTGATTTATCTCCTGTTGCTGCCACGCTTCGCTTGAGATGCTGCATCCGTCATCAGAGTAAACAGGAAAAGGTTCGTAGAAGTCTTACTCTTTTTTTTTTTGTCTTTTTGAATATAAGTTAATTTTTTTCCACGTGTGTATATGTTTTAACCCGCTGTTGCCAGGAATAGATGACGAGTATCGGAGATATGTGGGTAGAAGACTCTAAAATGTATGAACTGCAATAAATACATTAATTCAGTAACGCACACATAAGCCAAGACGCCGTTTATGTGAAATACCGAGTGTTGGACGGGAAATTATACATGTATTGGGGTATTTAAACTTACGGCTAGAGTATGAAAATGTCGACGGATGGCTTATTTTTCAGTTGGGAGTGGTTGTAAGAAAAAAAGGCATAACCAGCAACTAAAACGGTGGTGAAGACATTTTTCACAATATTTGGTAGCTGTATTCGTCCCAGGTTATATGTACCACGAGAAGGATTTGCTACAAAGTAAGATATGCATAGGAAATAATATAAAAAAAACAGGTCTCGAGGAAGCATATAGGTCTGAACAAATCCCAGTGTTGGATTTAATATATATTCACTAACAGTAGTGACTACTTTCCACCCTCTTAAACGGTGTGTTTACATGCTGTTGGCACTTGGGCGGAAACACTCGGTCTCCCTACAACTAAACGTAAAGCGGAACTGGTATTTTGCACCATTTGCTTACCCCCCATGTTACCACTGATGTCACTCTAAAGAGAGTCGGGACCACACTGAAAAGGCTCAAAGCATGTACAGTACATTCCGGCTGATAGGGGAAGCCGTGCCCATGCGTAGAAATATTTAAATGTAAGTGTCCCCTTTCCACTTTGAAAATGGAGCACAAGTGTTCTGGCATGTCTACACCTATACCTGCTGCAAGTTAAGCGCAATTAACTCTTTCGGAAGTAAAGATGAATACTGGTGTAAGGTGTTTTTTTTTTTTTTTTTTAACTTGGCAAAAGTATGCCCTCCCTCCTCCATTAAAAAATGACAGAAGTATATCTTATTAGGAATTTGTGTGTGTGTATGTATGCATGTATGTGTGTGTATGTGTGTGTGTGTGTGTGTGTGTGTGTGT